ATTTACTTTTTCATTTAAAGAGCCAGTGAAATTGGAGTTTTGTGGCTTTTGGCTGTTGGCTTTGAGTTTATCTGAACTGGATGCCATAGTGTACTGCTGAAAATTGACTACATTTGTTTTAAAGTTGTCATGAAATGAAAATTCACTGTATATATTTTCCAAATGTCTGTTGTAGAAATTATTGTGAATGATTCATCCATGCATATTTTATTTTTACATTAAAATTACCTCATAATATTTGCCTCAACATGTCATCATGGATCTTTTGGTGAAAACAAGATAACTTCAATCACTTAGTTAGCTCCTTAAATCATATACTTTCATATTCATAATTACATTCTTCAATCACATACTTCACTTCATCTGCTTCCAATTTTTTTTAGCGCAACCTCAATATCTCACAATCCAATCAACATTGATGCAAAGACCCAAGGCTTTTTCTATAAGCCGTTCACAAGGATAGCCTACATCTATATACAGAAGAAAAGATCTGTTGCTACTTCCATTTCATTGTGACGACCAAAAAAAAAATAAACACTGCATTTGTCATTACCTGTGTTTTTAAAATTTCACTGTGAAAATATTGGGTGTAACAGTGCTCTCTACAGGTCAAAGGAAGTACAACACATCTGCTCTGTTTTAATGACTTTCAAATGAATGGAGACTGATGCCTATATTTAACATCTGAGTGCATCAAGGGTGAGATCAAACAGGAGGTACGCTTTGGGTCAAAAGTGTTAGATAAGACCGATAACGGTGTAGACACCTGTCAATCAAAGGGTCAGATCCACATGTGCAGAGAACACCTGCAGCCGCTAACCTTCAGTTCACCTGAGCAGAACTGTGGCTCTATTCCAAAACCTATTGAGCTGCCTTGCTAAGGCTTATAGACAGCTAGTTTATATGACAGCATCCTGAACAGCATGGTTTTAACATGTTGCTAAGATAACAATGCACTCTAATAGACATTTCTAAAGTCAAAATTAAATTGAAAATGCAGTCATCTTTTCTTCCCTATTGTGACGTATATATCGACGTTCTCAAACGAGAAAAAATGTAAGACAGGACTTGGTTCAAACTGTTCAAAGGTAATATGAAAATGTAATTACTTAATTTTTGTTAATAACTTAAAGTATTGACTGAAATAGTTGTAATAGACATTTCTTTCTTTCTTTATTTTTTATTATGACGTTTTCTCCTATTTTTTTTACCAAACTTGTTGCATTGTATAATGGGATTGGCTTTTCCATATGCATTGTATAATGGGATTGGCTTTTCCATATGCATTGTATAATGGGATTGGCTTTTCCATATGCATTGTATAATGGGATTGGCTTTTCCATATGCATTGTATAATGGGATTGGCTTTTCCATAAAAGATACATACAGGGCTACCTTAAAATGTGTCTAAATGGCTTCTGGAGCAGCCTGTGCATTAATAGCTTGCTTATGATGATCCCTTGAAATGGTGCATATGAAGACAGCTCACTGTGTTTTGGAACAGTGTGTTTTTCTTCCTTTGAGAGCCTGTTTTATGTGATACTAAAAGAACGTTTCGGATCAGAAATATGCTGTGAGATTCCGTCAATTCTCCGTCTGTGGGAAGGTTTTTGACATTTTACTGTTACTTTGGCATTTGAGATCTTTGTTGACCCCCAAGATCTTTTTTTCCCCACTGTGCTGATGTTTGTATCATGGCGGTGTTGACTGATGGGAAAACTGAACATATTGTGCCTACATGACCTGAAGCAGGTTTGTTGTGGTACCTATATCTGACATGACTGTATTGTGTGTGGCTCTCATAACTGAATAACAAATTAGAGGAACACTTTACGCAAAAATGAAAGCTTCATTACCATCAGAACATCTAAGATGTAGATGTTGTTTCTTCATCTGAACAGATTTGGAGAAATTTAGCATTAAAGGGATAGTTCACCCAAAAATGAAAATTTGATGTTTATCTGCTTACCCCCAGGGCATCCAAGATGTAGGTGACTTTGTTTCTTCAGTAGAACACATGTGATGATTTTTAACTCCAACCGTTGCAGTCTATCAGTCGTATAATGCATGGCAATGGTAACAAAATCTATGAGAGTAAAAAAATCATGCACAGACAAATCCAAATTAAACCCTGCGGCTCGTGACGACACATTGATGTCCTAAGACACGAAACGATTGGTTTGTGCCAGAAACCAAACAGTATTTATATAATTTTTTACCTCTAATACACCACTATGTCCAAATGTCTTTGTGCACGCGCACGGCACCCGGTGCGTGAGGTGTGTACGCGCTCTGGCGTAGTTTATGTTAATGGGTGTGTTGATATCCAGCCGAAGAGCAATCAACCATAACTTCAGGTGAGCAGGCTCAGAAGTTGGGAATACGTGGAAAGTCACCAGTCCCGAATGAGTTC